CTCGTAGGGCCCGGGCCCGCCGCGTGTCGGGGCTTCAGACCACCACTGAGTTCCTGCATACAATAAACAACTCCTACTGGTCTTACACCTTCTCTTCCTATAGGGGACTGGGTGTAATTAATGTAGTGCTCTGAGCAGACTCACGGCTTAGTCTCCTACACTCTGACCCTCGTGTTAGGCCAGCGCATCTACCACTTTGCCCAAAGGCTGACATGAGGCCGACTGCTACACAGCCTTAGGGTATACAAACGGATGCCGTATAACGGAAAAGGTGACGGACTCATGGATACAGAAATATCTCGTTTGAGTTCGGGCAACGGATGACAGAAGCAGCAGCAGCACTGCTGGACGATCGCTCATTGGACAATTCCTCCGATGACCTTGGAAGTCCACTGCCCGTCTCGCTGGTAGGCTGACGATGTCGCTTCGTGCCGGAGCCATTAGAAATATCAAAAGATCTTGCCGATCGTTCACCCACACCTAGTGTAAAGGCTTTCTCGTTGTCTTTTTTCTCTGACACCGCGCAGCCAACGGTGCTCACACAGTATGCAAACAAAAACTCAATCGATCCCATGGAGCAGTCGAGTGTTTACTGCCGTATTCTCTGTACTGAACGCAACTATAACTGCCAGACCTGGGCGAAAACTGGAGACTGAGTTGTACAAGCACAAGAGGGTAGTTCGGCGGGTAGAGCACTATCTGCAGCCAAATCGCATCTGCAATCCTACAGCCAAGTGAACAGTCCGACGGGGCGCATATAGGCCTGTGTGCGAGCTAGTCAAGGCATGGGAATTTGTCTATTTTCGGCGTTAAACAGATGTACCCAGTTCCCTCTCCCAAACCCGACGACAGACAATCAAGCCGAGAGACGCAATCAGGCCAAAAAGTCTGCACAATCACGGCAGTAGTGGCGGAGTTGATTAATTAATTAAATTATTTGCTACTTTAATTTGTCAAAAGCATTGCGGTAGGAAATGATTTGATCCTGCCCTTCTTGAAGTTGAGAAGGCCGGTTAAATTTTAATTCAAAAATGGAGAAGTAGGACCTTTTGTCCGACCCTATTCGAATTTGACTCTATCGTCGACGTGATAAATCTCTGAGATCATCGGACGGCCGGACATTACGTGTCTCAGTGGACGCATAGGAGAAGGCATTATCGGAGGTGGCAAAGCCGAGTGAAAGCAAAGCTCTTTACTCATTTGGAAGGTAAGCGGTCATCGAAAAAGACTAAGAGCACTGAAATACCCATTGCTGGCTTATTTCTTCATTGCTGCCTTGGTCAAGGGTTGAAAGCAGTTCTAGTAGATAATTTTGCGTTTATGTTCAGTCCTGTACTTTATTTAATTACCGAGCTCGACCACTCTCTGTTGAAGTCTAGAATAAGCAGTCATATGTCAGTTATATTTATCCGATTGCCGAACAAAATAGGTACTATCATTTTGCATCATTTTCCTCTCACCATTCACCATTCCCCTAGGTCTAGACTGGAGACTCTAAGGTCCGTCCGCTAGTCCGAAAAGACAAGTAAGTTTTTGGTGACCGTGATATGGAAAACTCAGTCGCAGCCATTTTGTCTTGAAGCGTTCTTGGAAATGTCTACCCTTCTCAGCTCATCCAGTCCAGGCCATGTTTCCTTCCCAATTCAACAGAGTTCCAGCACCCAGACCTTCTTCCAAACAACTGGTCCAACTCCTACTGCAAATGTTACCTTTTAATTCGACCCATACTGACATACCGATTTGCAGTTGACATTTAACTGAACCACCGGCTTTCCCCAGCCGCCCCTACAATCTGGCTCATTTATGCCAGCCACAGCCACCCACGCTGTTTGCAACTCTACCTTGGTACGTAGCTCCTTTACTACATTTAACTATTCTTCCTTCTTTCAATTTCTTTCATCAACGACCTCCGGTCTGGGAAGGGAGCACTTGTAGTGACTAGCTCCACACGAAGTGCATTGTTGAACGCTTGTCGTGACTAACTCAAGTCGAAGTGCATTTCGGGAATGCTTGCTGCTTCCGGCCTCTGGAAAAGCTCATCACAGACCGACTCACACATGACCTCACGTGACGAGTGACGAGCAGACATCACTTCAGACGCCGTCCACTGGCGTCGTCTGACAGTTAATTTCCTACTGCCTATTACCCTATTTCTTCTGTACAGAAAATACTACTCCTACCTGTCTGATCTTTCCATGACTTCTCTGCTCCTAAGGAACCGGGCCTAAAGATCGCAGTTGCTAGGGCTTAAATCATTTAACGCACTGCGATAATTTTTCCCCTGCAAATTTCAGCTAAAAGATGAAACAACCAGTTCGGAGTATCAGCCTACTAAACCAATATTCCCAATGTTCAACTCTGGTTCGAACTTCTGATTAAAATGCCTGCTAAACCTCCTGGGGGAGGAGGAGGGTAGGGGGGATTGATTAAAGTCTTGTCTGCAAAATACTCGGAATTTGTGTGCAAATACTTCCTTTCCCCTGACCTAAGTCGACTATTCCCGGAGCAAACGACGTGCGCTAGGATGCGCTCTTAAATCGGCAAGGAATAAAATGACAGCGAGAAAGCGCTTTACTTGGAAACGAACACTTCAAACTGTTCAGAAAGCATCATTCTCCAATTACCATGTCCAAAACACAAACAGATGACAACAAAAACCGCATGACCGCTAGCCTGACCGATGAGTCCTAGGCTTCCATATTTCAATCTCGCCATACGTCAGAAATCCTATCAGGGACAGAGGGGTGGATTGTTGACGAAACGGACGTAAACTGGACCAGGTTGAGTGGAAGTAATTGATAACAGTTAGACCAGCCTAGTGTCTGACAATAGCAAAAAGTTGTCACTCATGAAAGCGGCAGACAAGAGAGCGTGGAGGACACATTAAAAATGAAAATATATATTCTACTTAAATGGCCAAAAGACAAAAGAAAAGTCGAGGTTAGGAAAGAAGCACGTGTGCATCTACAAATCGACATTACTGAGGCTTAAATGCTTCTGCGGGAATCAAGACATTCAATTCTGAATATCGTTAAAAGGGAATTAAATAAAAAGGGTAGAAAGAAATTGCAAAGCAGGGGTAGCCGTAGCTACTGATAATATTAGATTCTAGCAGAAAAAATGAAAGAGGGCACAAATTTCGGGGATATAATCTCAGCATAAGGTATTCCATAATAAGTAGGAG